CTCTCTCTCTCTCTCTCTCTCTCTCTCTCCAATACAACCAACAAATGATTGTGTATACAGTATTATCTCTTGCCAATAGAGATAGATGTTAAGATGTGTATGGCTTATCAATTTAATACAAATCATGTCTCAAATTGATTATATTTTATTGTGTAATAAATATATGAATTAATAATTTCACGTTAAAAGCTTAAGTTAAAAATTATATAAATGATAGAAATACTGAAATAGTTTTAAGATTTTGTGCGTTTTTATAAAAATAATAAAAACTAGTATTTTATAAACAGATCTTTGATTTCTAAATAATGACAGAGTTTTTAAATATAATGAAAACAATTTTGATTTGATTTATCACTTGATTATTAAAAGATCAATAATATAGAGATTCTTGTCTACCAAACAGACGGATAGAGATTTGCTTTGAATAGTACTGTAATTGTCATACAAATGGCACGCAATGGCTTTGGTGTGGCTTAAGAGTTGTGGTGATTAAACGGTCGGTTCAGTGGTCGCGCTATAGACCACGTTCTGAGACACCGCCTGATATCCGGGTCCGTATTGATAGCCCGCTTGAGTCGGGTAATCGACACCAGAGGTAGGCGTGGGTCCCAAGACCTGAGGATTGGCAATAGTGTGAGGGTTACCGACGGCAACCATTCCCGACCGTCTGTTGCGCTCGTATTTACGGTATAAGACAAATGCCGTCACAAATCCCAAGACAGCGATTCCAGTCATGACGGCTCCGACACACAATAGGATTGTCCCTAAAAATACAAATCACATAATCGTTACAACAATTATTGGCCACAAAAAGGCGTGTGATTTCCAACTGACCGACAATTCTGGGTCCTCTCGCAAACTCCTCCCGACCCTATGATTAACGGACAAACAATTGGTTAGTTTTAGAGACAATTCAAGTGATAATAAATGGTAAATAAGTGGTAATACTTTGTTGAAGAAAGGGGTGTCGAAGTCCTTAGAGGGCGGACTGTCGTCGCCGGCGACGAATCGGGCGATACTTCCGGCGATGAGGAAGAATATGCCAAACATAATGAGACAAACGGATGCCTGACATGAGATGATGGCCGGCACCAGACCCGGAGGTGCCGTCCGATACGAGCGCCGGAAGTAACGGCCATTCGGTGGCCGACTGTTCCACATGTCAGACATCTGGCCATCAAATGCACGGTTCGGGCGTTGAATTCAAATCAATTGAAAAGTTTTTATTACTTTTTATATTATTAATGATTAATATATTAATTGTAATCAAAATAATGCTTACATTTAGTTAAAAGTGATTAACAATTGGTTTGAGAAATAAAATTGTTTTCAATTTCTGATTATTTTGTTAACATTTTTAGAAAAACTTAATAAACAATACATTAATATCGTTGTTATAAATGTTGTTTTTTGGGACAATTTGTATACATTTAATCTACTATTTGTTTAATTAAATGCTTGTAATGTTTAATTTAATTATATTAAAATTATTTATAATAATTAAAATTAATTATAAATTGTAAAAACTTTTTTAAAATTCCCGAAATTATTGTAATATTTATTATTTGATACAAAACGTTAGTCACGTTATTGCTTTTCAGTATGTATTATATATGGTCTGTACATAATAGCGTACACTGTATTATGAAAGCGTTGTAGGGCAGTTACAATGTACAGCATGTATACATTAGTCAGATAATAAGTATTACATTGATGGTTGCAATTGCAAAATTGCCAGTAAATGACTGTACCTGACATTCAAATTATAGTAATTTGTACATGATCAATTCAACATATGTTACGGATGTACACTAGCTGGTACTATTCATTATTTATACGTAGAATAACCATGATAATGACATTACATAAATAGACCTTGAAACTTTATTATATATTAAATCTAATGGGAATTTTATTATGAACTGAATTCTATACAAAAAACCCATTCATCAGAATTGACAGCAAATTCTGGTTCAATATTTCATAATTTAGGGATTATTTGACAGAATTTCTGTTATATGTGTAATGGATGCGAGTATAATTATGATTTATAAATAGTATTGCTATTAGTTTAGTGAATAAAATACAAACATTAATCTAAATAATATACGGTATAATTGAATGACTTATATATGAAAATATAAATAGTTATCTCATTAAAAGAGATAGATTTTTTGTAGTGTTTTATACGCGGGATATAAACGGTAATCAGTTTTGTCGGCGTCCGTCCCGTAATAATAAGAGTCGTATTTCTTGCCATTCCTCGCCTGACTCAAGAAGTCTTCGCCATTCCTCGAGTACATCATATCTCCGGTCCTAAGAGACCACTGTTTGTCTGATGAAGAGAAGTGGTTATATATGACAACTCGGGGAGAGTTGAACGCTGTCTCGTAATGAAAGGGCAGATCAATGGACTGGCCTTTAAAGCCGGCGTCAAAGTAGTTGTTTTGCATCAATTCATACGCCACTCGACATACCTATGGGTTTGGGCACAGAATATATACAGCATTTCATTAGTTTTCAATTAGTTTTGAAAGTTTTGTGCTTTCAATGACTGACTCCCGAACTCATTGTGCAGACGATATAATCTGTTTGTGAGACCAAATAGATGTCAATTATAAGCTGAAGAAATGAATTGGCGTTATATCTGGTCTTTAATTTTGATGTATAAACCGCTGCTCTTTGGTTACCAATGAATCTATAGTTGGGATAATTGTCGACACATTCTCTCCAGACCTGGGGGTCGTCAGTCGCCAAATAGACTTTGCGTTCAATCGTGTCGTTCAATAAACCGATGCCATCGTAAAAGTCTTTAATGTGAACCATATATTCGCTTACGTTATGAAAACTGCTCTCAACGCCAATCTTGTCGGTCCGCCTCACGTGAAGTCTATTCAATGAACTCATTATTAATACTTTTCATTTAATTCAACGTTTAGTAAAACTAGAGACCGACCCAACTATGGGGTGACTGAAACCGAGTGACAATTTTCTGTCATTTAATATTTTTTGCACATTTGGCTGAAGTCTCATAATATATTGTGTGAACTGACCCAACCACCAAACCAATGGGTTTGAATGCATGGCCACTATTCTCTTGCCAATAGATTTTGGTAAATAATGGATTAGACGTCGAGTGACCGGATCTTTCAACATGATATAAAATGTCATTATTTTATTTAAAGTCAATAAAAAGCACTAACCATTCCTTCCCGGCCATCGACTCACATACGAGACGTTTTCAAACATACTTTCATCGCAAGTATCGCTAAGAGGTTTGAAAAAATGGGTCCACTTTTGCGAGCCTTCATTTAAATAATGGTATCGTTTAGAGAGCAAAACGACTGTACGGTTGGAGTAATAGCCGGCGATTAGACACCAAACGATATCACTTAAACCCGACGAAAAGCCATAACTGTTTGTCAGATTACAGAGTATTGTTTGCCGTGAAATGCATTGTCTAACTGACGGATTCTGGAGTTCATGGATCCGACTTTGAACCAATTCTGACAACTCTTTGGACTCTCTTTGACGCCAATCCTCGACACCAATTGAATCGCCCAAAACCGATGCCTCCATTTGTATAACACTTTAATTGCAATTATAATTATTATATATTTA